GACAGAATTCTGTCTGTTGTTTAGGTGAACGTGGGTCACTCCTACTTGGCAAACATCGGCAGACGTCTTCAGGCAGAGACCACGCCACCTTTTCCACGGCGTCCCAGAATTCCACAGCCACATGGGGGGGGGGGGGGGGGGGAGGGAGAGGAAGGTGACTTTTGAACAGACCTGTGGTTGGCCGGTTGCCACACTGGCACCAATATACCCTCGGTGACAGCAAGTGGCAGTACGGGGGGGGGGTGTTCTGGTCAGGTCAGACACAGAAATTCAAGCTGGTTAAAAATAAATAAATAAATAAACAGCTGGGAGCGGATCTAGGAGGGGCGACGTGCACATTTATACTGCTGATCGCGGAATGCAAAATCGCCCCCATTTCCTACAGTATCTCAGTGTCTTCCTGGCTAATACTCCCTCCCCGGGCAGTGCCCTCCCCATTCCGGGCTTTTTAGGGAGGTGCTTCCTCCCCTTTCGGGAGGAGAAGGAAGTTAATATCCTGTTCAGGAAGAGCCGTCCGGCCCAGCGGCTCGTGAAAGGAAATCTCACCAGTGGCGGTCAGGCCAGAGGCGTAGGGAGAAAACTCTATCCGGGTCTCCTTTGTCTCCGTAAAAAGGCAGGATTTGTCGGAGACGGCCCGAGATTCGCCCCTTTGCTCGTCTGCTTGTCCTGAAAGAAGCTTTCAGATGCGGCCTGTAACATAACACCCTATTGTGTTGTGGGAAAGCATGCGCTGAATTGTATGAACCGTCGCATGTTAAAAACGGGTTTGTTAGCGATGGTAGTGAGAGGACCAAAACGGGCCTGCTGACACTGCCGCAGCTGATTCACTCGAAAGATTCACAATATTATCGAGCACAATATTGTGCAGTGAAAGGACAAACTGCTTTGCAGGAACACTGAAAGTCAAACCCCATTTGCCTTGACATTTTTTGGTGGTTTTTTTTGAATGCGACCGCCTTCAGTGCCGTTTAGTGTTGATGCTATGCCACTGACCTGGTAGGTGCACGCCCCGCGCATTTCGAACGGCATGCCGAGTGGGAGGGGCCGCGTCAGCTGACACAGGAGCGCCGGCGTGAAGGGACACGCTGTTCTGGGGCGCTGCCCTGCAGATTCCGCTTTTCTCACAGAACACGCGGGTTGTCAAACTTGTTTGGTTACAAAAAAGAAGGAAAAAAAAAAAAAAAACATCACAGAACCAATGTACTGTAAACAAGAGCGACAGTTAACTTTCAGTTTAATTACAGCATGTGCCATTGGGTGAAACAATGAAAATAATGTACCTGGTCATCTTGCAATGAACCTGAAATGCAAAGAAAAATTAATTAAATTCATAAACGTGGCCTGTCCTGCCACCCGTGAAGATGGTCTCTCCAGAACTTTCCAGTAGCTCCATTCACGCCCTTCTTTCACAGTAACAACATCATAGTTAGATTATCTTTTAAGTGCCACCTCCCCCCTCTCCCAGGAGTGCTGCTGTACCTTTAAGGCCTTCAGGAATGCGAGTCCTGCATTCTCCTTGGCCTCTCTCTCCTCACCGCGGCCCTCAGCCTCCCGGCCAGGTATGGGCGATATGCACGGCATGGACCCAAGAGCAGCTGCATTCCAGCCCGCTAGTCGCTCAGGCCCTCGCCATTGTGTGCGGGGGAGCACTGGAGGGACAGGCCTGGACAGGCAGCTCCTTTCCCATGAAATCCCAGGTGCGCACAAAGAAACACTGGAAACTTTGTGTTTGTTGCGCAAAACGTTCTGTATGCCAACACAAGCCATTTTAGTGTCAGTGGGATCTGGCACCTGCTGTCGGTCATCCCTGTCGCCACTAGACAGTGAGTGAAGGTGTTCTTCTGAAGACAAGGCAGATGCGGGAAAAAACAAGTACGAGCATCCCACCCTGGGGAAGAACCCAGAACTGGCGAACAGGTCCACGCAGAAACCTACTGCCTCATCATAACCCAGACATGCGAAACAGCCTCTTACTCACTGTCCCCGAGCACCGTGAGAAGAAACTGGACCGGCACGTTCTGTAACTGCATCTGACCCGGATCTACTACCCAAACCCCCAACGTTCTCATCCCGCCAAGCAGGCCTGGCCCGGCTGAGCTCAGCCCGGCTCAGTCCAGCACTACCCCGTCCTGCCAAGTTAAGCTGCGGCAGATTTAGCCCAGAGAAAACCTTTGTGAGGCTGACGGTTTCCCAATGCCGTCATCTTCATCTCTGCATTAGGCTGCAAATCCACCTGGGATGAGCAATAGCATCAGCCCTGGGAACGTGGGCCCCGCCTGTTTGTCTAATAGCCACCGTTCATGGAACACTGAAAAGCCAGGACACTCCCTTCTACAAATTACAGGGGGGAAAAAAAAAGATCCACGCTTGTCACAGAGACGCAGACACACACCACACACTGACTGCATGCGACTGCTTTCTATGCAGGTTATTTATCATGACTGTCCCCCCCCCCAACCCCTCCTGCACATATGTAAATACTGAAACACCCTATAGTGCAATATGGAAAGAATATGTGCACAGGTTGTCACTGCTGTTCAAATATCATAAATCAATTGACGGGCACTTACCGCAGGACATTTTTGATCGGTATTATAAATAACAATGTTTGAGAGGCATTCACATCACGCTATCAGGGTATTGAAAAGTGATTGTCTGTCTGCTTTATCCAGCCAACAAAAGCATGTCTGTTTAAAAGCAGGTTGGCTCTGCAGATTTTATCTCCCAGCATATCTGTATTGGAGGGGTGTCCTCAGAACACCCCCCCCCCCAAACAGAAGCTGTCCACAGTGGGAGCCAGGATATTCTATTACTCGTGAATGACGAAACAGTCAGGCGCTATGAAAAAGAATATATAATTTAATATATGGCTAAGTACTTAAAATAGCCAATTAATATGGAGGTAACACTGGAGAAAAGCTAAATGATTTATACAACTGGTTATCTGGCAGCAGGAAGTTAAAGAACCTAAGATTATCCTTACAATAGGTTCGCTTAGGAGGACAATGGCATCATGTCAATAGATTACTCACCGCCTTACTTCAGAAATGACCTATAACAAAAGCACGTGTAGTCAAAAGAAAATTGCGGAGAGGCTTAACGTGAAAAACAACAACCCCAGCACAAGTTGACTTCAGCTGTCCACCATAAAACTAAATGCACAAAAAATGATTTGGCCTGTCGCACGTTTAATGGTAAACATGGAGGGTAAATCAATCATATTAATCGCCAAACGCGATGTTATTATCGAGTGCCGCAGACAAAATGAAGCGGAGCGATAACCTCATGAAGCATGCACGTACATAAAACTAATACCTTGAACCGATTCTGGAACATTCAGACCCATTATTTAACTGTTGGAACATAATAAATATAGCGCAGGCAATGGGTCATTTGGTCACGGCTACCCCCTTTACGCAAGAACGCGCTTTACCTTTCGTGCGCGTTACAGGTAAGGCGGGTCTTACCTGTTCTAATTAAGCCTATCAGCGCGACGCGCTCGGAATAGCGCGGCCAATCAGCGGCGAGCTCGGCCCTCTTTGAACTAAATTACTTTACACTGAAAGAATTCCAACAAAGTTTACGGCACTCATCTACAAGTGCAGATAAGGTAAACTTTCTTTTGAATAATATTACCCACTTTATATATTTCGGTGTGTGGAGGAATGCAGGCTCAATAGCGCAAGGAGTGAATCTCCTTCCAAATGCACCTGAACGCGCGTTGTACCTGATCCGGCAACAAGGGATGCGAAAGAAGCCGATTAAAAAAGCAGTCGTACCTGTAGCCCGAGTTCCGACGGCTTCTCCCGTTCGCTGCACCATTACCTGCGCAGACTTGAAAGTCCAGTTTCACAAGGAAGAACAAGAAAGGGAGAAGGAGAGCTCGTCGGAACAAATATGTCACAAGAGACCGACAAGTAAGTGAACATACTGGTTCTGATGGACTGCAGCGCTTTCTTCATTAAGCTTTGGGATACTCTTAAGCGTTTGACCCCCCTGTTATTTTTGCATTCTTTTGTAGTTCCCGCACGAACTATTTGTGATTATAGTGAATATTTTGCGCAGTTTTCCAGCGCTGCATAAAAAATGCCTATCATGTCAGTGGTTAGAATATCTGAAAATTTTATTGCGTTGAATCAAGTTACCCTGGCTGTCCAAGGCTGTATATCTAAAATCGCCATTTTTGGAGAAACAAAAGGTGAATTTTAAAATACGACGTTTTGTGCATTTTGGTGTCCGGATATCTAAAAGTGAGCCGTGATATTTATTCTGAGATTTTTCTTGTAATCGTAAAACTTTAAACTTTCATGACAGTTTTATAGGCCTGTGCAAGATTTTATAACTTGGGTGATTATAAAATAACATTTAAGTGTTTTGCCAAATACCGCGTTTTGCAATCTTAATCTAAAACACCAATTTTGGTCATAATTGGTTTAAGTAACATTTTAATTATTTCAGTTAGTTTGATTATATGTTTTTTTTTTCTTTTTGTTGGTTTTCTGAAAATCTAAATCCCTAACGGGCCTGAAAGAAACACAATTTGTTTTTTGGAGCTGAATGACAGGATATTATATGGATTTTTTTCTGATATCCTCTTAACTGTGTTATATTTATATTGATGAGTTTATTTAAATTAGTTTATTCTAATCAATTCATTTATATTTACACCATATAGAAACCTATAGAAGCTCTTTAAATAAGAATACGACTGGTGGAAAGTTTGGGAAGACAGTGACGGAGTGATGAGGGCCCAGCGAAAAGCGAATGACACCCACCCCCGGTGGGACCTGGATGGGCGGCGGGGGGTGGGGTGGAACAGAATGGGGCTCTGACCTCCATTTACATAGCAAAAACAAACCCAAACATATGAAAATTAATCCAGCTGTCTAAAGGTCTCTGTGTTGTGGTCAACTACAGAACAGCTGTATAATAGCGTCTGTCAGATTCAGTTAAGGGCTTGGAAGGAGTGGAAATTATTGGAGAGAATATTATAAACAGGAAGATGCAATACTGTGCTGGGAACGAATGGTGGAAGAAGTGGCTATATAATAGGCACACAATATGCGCACGAATAAGGGTTTTTACCGAACTACAAATCAGTGTGAAAGAAGTGTTTTCCCAACCCATATTTAGTTGACTGTTATTAATTTCCAAAGTTTATAGAACAGCCATGTGCTTTATAGTGCACTGTTCAGGCAGTGCTGAAATGCAGCGCCTGGCTTTGGGAGTGTCTTGTTTGGATATTTTGGAAGTCCGTATCGTCAGTTATTCTACAGGAGTCACACGACCAGTTTTTCTTGTCGTGATATTCGGTTGTGTAATTTCACATGTGCATCCGTTAATCGCATATCAACAACAACAATAGTCATATCAGTGTATTGACTGGTATTTTCTTTCATCGACTATAATTTCTCATACTCGGCGTGATCTTTACCTGACCCAGCCCATAAAGCGGATATGTTTCTATGAGGAAGTATGACGTGCAACGGCACAGAATTGGAGAATTTGCTGCGTCTGTCCTGGCCGTACCGTATGGGCATTGACGCTGTTATTACACCGGTCATCGAATAAGAGACAGTAGTCATTTCATACCGAAGTTGATGGACAATCTACTGAGATGGGAGGGGACCTGAGTTTCTTAGGAATGTTAATGGAGGAATGTGGCGCATGATTTTGGGTTCTGAAATTATCCTGCATCTATGAAATTGTCTGAGAAGCCCAGTTCCCAGTTTAAATGCTGGAATGACCTGGGTCCTGCGGTTTGAGTGTGTTCTCCAAAGCGTACATCACGTCGCCTTGCTCTGCACGTGTCCCTGCAGCAAGCGGCCTGTGGTGGTGGTTCCCAGCGAGACGTCCTTCCATACGCGCAGGGCCTACACCAGCGAGGATGAGGCCTGGAAATCCTACCTGGAGAACCCGCTGACGGCCGCCACCAAGGCCATGATGAGCATCAATGGGGATGAGGACAGTGCAGCCGCTCTGGGGCTGCTCTATGACTACTACAAGGTCAGGAGGGGGAGCTTCAGCCAATCAGCACGCAGCGCCTGGTCGTCATGGACACCAAGCTGCCTCCTGAGCCCCAATCGCTGGAATATGAGGAGGCTATTTTATTATATGTGAACATCCATACCATCAGTTACTTTGGATAAAAGTGAAATTATATATATAATAAAAGTACTTATCTTAAGTAAAAAAACGTAACAATGTGATATTAAACAATATATCATAAAATATATATCAAAAAGTAAAACATTAATTACACTTTCAAATCTATTTACATGAATAAATTGCATAATATGTAAAAATAAAATAGAATTATGTAGTTTTATGAAAACAGAAATGGCAAACAGGATTGTCGTATGAAACCATTTGCTGGTTGGTTGAACCACATTTTCATTGTGTATTTGGTTTTGTCACATTTGCCGAAAGCTGGTAGCTTTCCCTCTGGTTTTCAGGCCTCATATATCCTATTATGGGGGGGCATGGTGGTTTAAGGGGTGGCATTTTAGTGTGTTTGCACTGCGTGGCCTGGTCTCTACCAGTCTTTGCAGTTTTGTCTCAATCTAAAAACATGTGGCTAAGCAATGGCCTGTAGATGTCTTAGCAATGTGATTAAAAAAAGTAAATTAAAATGGCAGGTCTGTTTTAGCTAAGTGATGGTCTGTGGTGAGTTAGTGTGGTGCTTTAATGGTCATGTCAGTTTACTGGGTGGCTCTAGTAGAGAAGGAAAACTATACAAGATCCACAGCAGAAAAAACCACAAGAGCAATAAAGTAATTGTTCAGAGAATATAAATAGTTTTCTTGAGCAATTTGAGTTTTAAATATGTGTGTGATACTTTGGTTGCTATTGATGTGATCTCTTGCAGAACAGCCTCAGTGTGCACTGTTTGGTAGCTGCACGGCTGGTCGCGTGAATGGATACTCATTTCTGACGACGTAATTTGATCTTGATTTTTCAGGTTCCCAAAGAAAAGAGGCTGCCGATCGCTAAAGTAGTTGAAATTCCAGAAGACCAGGAAAAACGGTCAGTACTTTGTTTGTATTCCCTTTTTGTTTTTTTTTGTGAGACACGTAATATTGGTGGGAACCCTTAAAAAATGTAATTTAGAACTATTAGCTTAAATGATCGATAATTCAAAGCGATGCATTGTTGTAATAGTGTAGCTCTTTTGATGGTGTAGCTAATCGGAAAGAAAACGGATGAAAATATAGCCTTGCTAGTGCAATGATTAATGTATTACATGCTTGTTATTGTTACGTTATTCAAAATCTATTACAATTGGAGGACAGCAGCTGTGTGTGAATGTGTGTGTGCAGATAATATGCTCCCATGACAGATTTCAAGAAAAAGACTGTAAGATATTAATAGGGAAAAAATAAGGTTCCACAACTTCGTCAGTTGTGTTAGAAGTGGGTTACGATGCATCAAAACGAGCATTGACTAATTTTGCACAAAAGCGTTAATGTCTGCGTCTTTTTGACAAACAAGGAACGTTTCCTTGGACAGTGACACTCAGGGGGCCACGGGAACCGCGGGGAACCGCGTCCAGGTGCTGAAATCCGTTCCCGTCAACCTGTCCCTGAGCGCGGAGACGTCCGAGGCCAAGCGAGAGCCGTACGGCGTGGAGGGCGGAGCCGTGGTGACCGTGAAGGCGGAGACGTACGCCCCGCCCTTCATGGGCCCTGGGAGTCATTACAAGGTGGAGGGGCAGGAGGTGGTGCGGGCAGCCTACGAGCAGAACCCCTACAGCGCGCCCTCTGTGGAACATGCCGTATACATCAAAGATGACCAGTGCAGCACCCCAGACAGCAGCTATGAAGACTCCTTCCCGGAGGACCATGAGGTGAGGTCCAGGCCTTGGTCTTCGGGCAGAAAGTGATGCTTTTGAGGCTTTGGGTCAAAGAAAAAAGCCAGGAGAACCTCAGGTTGTGTCACATGTGTGCAGCTTGTCTCGGACATTCCCCAGCTGCCTGTCAGACCCTTTCACTTCAGCCCTGTGCCGTTAATGCATGGTGGTATTGGCCCCTCAGAACGTACCTGATGTGAAACGTTTATGAGACACTTTCGTTTTCTGTACAGAAATACCACACATCTTCATCTTTGGGGCCCGAAGAATTTATCTATGACCAGCAAGCGCTGTAAGGCCCACGTTCTAACTCGTTTAGCCTTAAGCCCATCCTGTGTGTACTTACCGCAGCTTTAAAGAATTGCCTTCTGTTTCGTTGCAGTGGAACCTTCCAGTACACCCTGGAAGCCACCAAGTCCCTGCGGCAGAAGCAGGGGGAGGGGCCCATGACCTACCTGAATAAGGGCCAGTTTTATGCTGTGACCCTCAGTGAAACTGGAGCCAACAAGTGTCTCCGCCATCCCATCAGCAAAGTGAGGGTGAGTGAGGCATCTCCAGGCCACCGGGGGCGCTGTGACTCCAAAGGCCTACTGCACCTTGGAGGCTTTTCGGGAGGTGTGCAAACTAAATACTGAACGTCAACTGCAAGTGCCTCAAATGTGTCGCCCGTTGTTGTCGTTATGTAGGTCAAGTATGACCCAAGTTTGAGCTCAACGGCAGTAACGTGGCTTGTTGAGTTTGTGTCATCTTCTGTTGGCTTATGTCAATCGTACGTCTTAAGGAACACCCAAGACTTCTTTACCTCTAATGTGACAGTAAGATACAGTAATGTGGAAACCCTGTCTCCTCAGATTAGGAACCATTTGTTTCTTAATTAATTTGACCGTTTTTCACGCTTCGCTCCTCTTCAGAGTGTAATCATGGTCGTGTTCAGTGAGGACAAGAACCGGGATGAGCAGCTCAAGTACTGGAAGTACTGGCATTCACGGCAGCACACGGCCAAGCAGAGGGTCCTGGACATTGGTAAGGCTGCTCTCCCTGGGGGGAGGGGGAGGGCGAGGGTGCTGTAGACGGCCTTGGCTGGAGGATGGAGCCGCCTCAGCCGACGGCCAGGATGAGAGGCAGCGAAATCGCCGGGGGGCCACTTTGTGTCTGGCTCTGTCCTCCTTTTAGTTCAGAATTTGTATTTTTATTTTGCTGCTTTTTGCCGCAAAGGCTGATGTTTTGCCTCATTTTGAATATCCCACTACCCTTTTGAGGAACGTTTGCTTTTCACACCCGTCAAAGTTGTACAGACTCGCATTAAACCTCACTGTCTGTGCTGCTCTAGTAAATATGCAATAGCTTAATTTTCCGTAAGAGTTTAAAATGTCTCTGTAGCTGGGAGTCACCGAGGCCTGTCCGGTAGTCTGCGGCATGGTCAGCGCGTGGGAGCCGGTGGCGCTCGCGGCTGCAATCCGAGCGGCGGGCGGGTGACGGCGGAGCGGCTCCTTGTGAGGGCTTGTCCGATCCTCGCCGAGCGCGAGCGTGCCGGACGTGCCAGGACGCGTGAATCTCTGGCGCTGCATGAGGCAAACGGAGCGGCGAAAAAATGCCCGACTTGTCGAGGCAGGATGCTTCCCGCGCGCCAGGGACGGCCATCTCGCGAAAGATGCCGGTAAGGCGCTGGATATCGCAGCCGTGACTACACCGCATTTCTCGCGCGGTGCGGTTTGGTGCCGCGTGGAAACTTACTACCTCTCCCACCTCCGCTCGGAGTTTTACTCGCTATCCTCGTTCGGCCCATAAATTGTGTCTGCGTCGTCTGACCGGGCTGACGGTTTTATAGGCTGCTCCAGACGGCGCCTGGTGGGTCGGGCTGTGATTTGCGACCCGTTAATAGGTACTGAAAACTGAGAGGGGCCACGCTGTCTGAGTACTAAAGGGCTAATCTCGCTAATTAAATTTAGCCATTTAGCTATAATTTAGCTGCCCCTCTCTCTGTACATTATTAGTGGTTTTAATGCTTTAAAGCCCAGTTCCTTATGGGTGTGGTGGATGGCCGTCATGGGCGATCAGTGATATCATGTGGGCGGAGCCTGTCTGTGTATCTGTCTGTTTCATCTGCAGTGCAGCTTGCTATGGGGAAGGTTTTTTTTTTAGGTATATCAGGAAACTGATTTGAAGATACCATGCAAAGTGCTTGGCCAGCAGAGACCTCTGTCATTGTTGGGGCACTTTGGGGCAGAGACTGGATTGTTGTAGTTCAATGATTAACTCCCACCTGAAGTTACTCTTTAACGCAAATCTGAATTAAGTTGAGTTTACAGGTTAATAGTCTTTTTCAGATTGGATGTTTAAAAACCCACTTGGTCCAGAGCTGAGCACTGGTCATGACTGCTCTCTCAGAACTCCAGACTCGGAACAATTTCTTTTCGGAATGAGGAGCATACAGGAGTGTGATGCAGGACAGTGGCGATATTGAGACGCCATAAATGATCCAGACATAATAGCACAAAAGTGCAAGAATAACTGCTAGGCAATAATTTACTACAAAAAAACAACAGACTAACAGCTGTAGTGCAATGCAAAGTATGCAAGGTGGGCAGTGGTGGCTTAGTGGTTAGGGAGGCACACTTGTAGTTGAAAGATTGTTGGTTCGAATCCCTGACCAGCAAGGCACCACTGAGGTACCCTGAGAAAGGTACCGCCCCCAAGCACTGCTCCCCGGGCGCTGAATTAGCTGCCCCCTGCTATGTCACGATGTCACATATGGGTCAAATGCAGAGGTCGCATTTCGTTGTTGTGCACTGTGTCATATCCTGCTCTTACCAATAACCACTTATCACTAAATTCCAAAAAAATATATATTTTTTTCTCCTTAATCAATAAATTAATTCTTAGATTCTGTGATTTGGCATTTACTAAATTAATTCTTATTTAATAAAAATGTAATTAAAATGAACTTTTTATTTAAGTTATTTTTAATATTTAATGTAAATTTTTGTGAGACACTGAAGTTTCGATGAAAATTCTCATATTTTCTGCTAACTCAAAAATACCACAATATGAGCAGGGGGTGCAAGATCTGCATCACTGGATTGCGGTTGTGGTTTGGGGTCTTCGTCAAGAGCTTAATGACGATATGATCATTCTGCTGGCCACAGGATGTGAGCCCACAACCTTCAGGACTGTGCCCTGACCTGGTGACCCGCACAGCACCTTGATGTCTGTGTTTGGCCGTGTAAGATTATCTGTACTTTCAGATATGATGTCCAGACCAGTGTGCTGCAACCGCCTATCAAATTTAATAAAAGAAAATGGTTTATCGCACAAAAAACCTACAAAATGATCCCATAACAGCTATGATATCACCAGAAGTTGGCAGCTGTGATGGTTTTACTGAGAGTCTATACCTTTACTCCTCTCCTCACAGATTACTGTGACCGTTTAAAAATATAATGGTAGATATTATTAAATGAAGTATGTGCCTGATATTCAGTGTAGCATGTTTTGGGAAAAACATGTTTAGATGTTGGGTTCGAACTCTGAGACTGTAAATATGGCAGGTTTTTTTTTTGTTTATTGTTTTTTTTAAAATGTCGCTTATGATTTGTGCCTCAGAGTGGGAATGTTTGGGCCTAGTAGCCGGTTCCAAGGAAAAGGGGGAAGGGTGGTGTTCTCTACCCTGGGGGAGCTGGGGATCCGTTGAGCCTGTTGGCAGAAGATTCTGGGCATGCGAGTCGCACCTGGAACCAGACACCGTGCTGCTGATTTGCATAACAAGTTAAGCGTTCCGTGAGGAGCCGTCTGACCCGTTTTGCTGGATGCGGGATTTGAATAGAGCTGTTAATGGGGTGTTTGTGTGTGTGTGGGGGGGGGTGTATGCAGGAACAAGCCCTTACTAGTGGGGTGCTGGCCAGGCGGGTGAAGGACATGGGGAAGTGGGAGTTGACAAGCTTGGGGCTGAAAGACAGCGAAGTGTCTGTAGAAACAAAGGGGTTCTGCTCAGAACCTGAAGTTTACTTCACAGCTGTGTCTGTCGTTACATGGGCACCGATCTCCCTACAGTGCCTTCCCTTGTATGGGTGCTGGGGGGGGGCAGATTTCTGGATTTCCATCCCCAAACTCTCCGCTCAGTTTTACGCAATCTGCAGAGTCAATGGGAGTGGGTGCATCGGCAAGTGCTGCTTAACGTGATGCAGGTCAGAGCAGCACTAAACCTTTTGTACGTCATCTGCTGGCCTTCGCATGTCGTCTGCGACGTTCGCTTTTAATTACTCATGCTGACCCTACAATATATCAAAACCGTGATGCGGAAGGTCGCGGTGCAGAGGGGTCAGTTGTGGTCATTTGTCCTATTTAGAGAATTTGCAGTCTTTGGTGTGCAAGTCGATTGTCGGCTGTGAGACCGGTACCAGAACCCCTTGCAGTGCTGGGCCCACCTAACCCCCCCAAAGAACCAGATGGGAGGCGAATGGAGCGGCAGGTATCAGTAGTCGTTGTGAGGCTGGCAGGCTGCACGACTGCTGGACCGGCGCCATGCGGATGTGGAGGGTGGCACAGCGCTGGCTGACTCACCAAGTGACTCAGATTGGCTCAATTCATTTCAGCTTCAATCGTTTATTCAAGATAAACCTGCTTGTTTCTGCGTTTGATATGGTTCGGGACAGGCGTTGGAGGGGTCAGGTTTGTTTGCCTGGCCAAACAGAACCAGTCGACTGATAAAACTCTGCCGATTTGATTTTTATGGGTGCAGTTGTCTGCCCCTCCCCCGTTTTAAACCCATAAAGCTGTTTAAACCTCTGTCCAACAGCTCTGCCTTTCAATTACAAAAGGTGTGCACATCTAAGCAGGCACACATATAAACATCCTTTTTGGAACCTCAAAAACACAGCTTTTAAAAGAGCGCCTAGGATCATTACCGCTTCAAATTAATTCTTGTTGGTTTTTTATTTTCCTTTTCGGTTGGGGAACATTGATCCTCCTTTAAATGCGGGGCTTGTTTGACTTGGTCGCATCTGTTGTCATAAATTTGCCTGGGAATAACGGACCCGATTACACCCATTTGTGTTGTGTCGAGAGGTGATGAAAATCGTTTCGGATAGAGGGGAGGGTTAGGGGTCCGGCCAAAATCTCATGTCTCTATGCAGCCGACTACAAAGAGAGCTTCAACACCATTGGGAACATTGAGGAAATTGCGTACAACGCCGTTTCCTTCACCTGGGACGTCAATGAGGAGGCGAAGGTGAGTAGAATTGTGCCCCTCGGTCGTGGGGTAAAAACACTCCAGGTGTCGTCTCTCTTTTGCCTTAACTCCAAACTCACAGATTATTTCCATCTTCCCCCCTCGCTGCTGCCTATAAATCCTCTGTGATTATTGGAAGGCTTTGCTGTACTGAATCCGTACGGCGCGTTTCCACTGGCATACAGGAACCAAGCCGTAGCCGACCTGTACCACGAAGAGAGAGGTGCTGTGGTTTGGAGAGCGACAGAACATGACATTCAACCAAAGGGGCGCTTACTGTTCACACTATGTGTATCATGATTACTACAGTATCTGCTGATTTCTTCCAGCGCGTCTGTTAGAATCGCCGTGTTATGTTAGCATCAAATGCTACCGGAATTAACAATTGCTACGTAAATTTGCATTATGAATCCATTCAGCTGTTCTATAGTATTTTAAGTAGTAGGTTGGAATTTTCACTTTTCGAGTTATCGGGGATGCATCGATACATTGTGATAGGCGATATGAATGAATGAATCCATGCATATTGACGCAAATCACTGGTCCCTCTGCATTTCGACCAGTCAGGTGGTGGTGATGCAGTCAGCTTGGTTTATTCACGCTTTCATCCCTGCTAGTAAGCAGGGTGATGTCAGTGTAGGTACGGCTTGGGTTCAGTTCCCATAATTTACAATGGAAAACTGTCAGTTAACAGTACGACCCTGTTACAGCTTGGATCTTGGTGGCAGTGGAAAAGCGGCGATTGGTGCATTTTGGAGAGACTGGTTTGGCAAACGGGTGCCACACACCTGTGATGTCATCCCAGCAGTCATAGGGACGGGGGTTCCCTGCCGATCACATGTCGTTCTGAAGTGAGCGATGCACCGCTTTGTTTAGAAACCCACTATTTCAGTTGCTGTCTGGTACCATAGAGTTACTTTCACATGATGGCCTTTTCTACATGAGATACATAGAAGCTGGGATGGATCAGAGCAGAACCAGGTCCAGTGTTCTGGGTACATTTTTTCTGGGCTTTTGAAGTCATGGAGCCCAAGAGCTTTTCGGGTTTTAGTGGAATGCAAGGTGCCGTTCTTCATTTCACCCTGTAGTTTATGGCTTGTTAGGGGGAGGGGGGAACACAGCTGATGGGTGTGGTCAAGGGAGCAACCCCCTCCCCACCCAACAGCCCGGCTGCCATCCGCCTCCTCTGTTTAACGAGGGCTCTGCAAATAAGCCTCAGAGGGACTCTGCCGTGGCTCCCTGGGTAAATATTTGCTGTCAGGATGGGCTCTGAATGCTGATGGGTGGAAGAGGACCGGGGTCATTGGTGCCCCCTCTGTCATTAGGGATTCATACTCTTTCCTGGGTTTTTTAAGCCTCCATCAATACAAAGGAGTTGTTGTATATACATTTTTTTTAAAGCGATTTACATATTTACATTTTGACTGTTGCCCAGTCATACTAATCGGTCTGTACTGGTTTCTATACTGAAACCAGAGAAGCTGGTTAAAAGGCCAGTTGTATCTAGGATAGGAAACCAGAATCCACATGGTCAGTGGTTCCATTTTGGAGCGTGATGATGCACCGAACTAATAAGCTGAGGGGAAGTTTGAAAGTGCCAGTTGATCCTATTATAAATCTGTTAAAATTGACTGTAGAGCTAACGGTGTGGTGAGCCGCACTGGCTGTGACCGGAGCAGTCCGTCTCCCTCAAATTCACAATGCTTTTGTTTATTCCTTACTGTTCTTCGATATCATTTTGAATTAAGATGTAAGAATTCCCAGAGCTGATAATTCCCAAAACAGCAACTTTTATGAATATTTAGATCCAACAGTAATAATACAACAGAAACTAAATGGTGACCATTTCTTAAAATTATGATCTGCAAAGAACTGAGTCATTATGGTTGAAAATATTCTGTGTCCTTAAAAAGGAACTCTGTGAGATACAGAGCTGAATGTGAGGAGGGGCCTTGCAGCTGAGGTTCCTGTGTCGGCCTCTTGATGGCTTAGTTCCCGTTTTGATTTACTTGGGAAGTTGAAATTTCCCATTTGCTTCTATTCAATTAAAATGCGTTGCAGGTTTCTGTGAAAGGAGGTCAGAGGCACATTGTCTTGTGTCCAGGTGAGAAATCAGAAGATTAGAACTTAGCATTTGTGTGTGTGTCTCTCTCATCCAGAATCGGTTTCACAAAATGACTGCCGGTGCATTTTTCATTGCCGATAAGTTATCTATATATGATTGTTGGGAATGTTACCTGCAGTCTTAGGTAACTGCAGTCATGTTATGAGCTGTGTAACTGCAGTGGGCTTTAAAACATGGCTGTACACAGAAGTCACCCGTAACACAGCCGATTGATCCCTGAGTGTTGGGTCCATCATCAGTTTTATGTTGTCGTCCTGGAGTTGATAAATCCAGGGAATCTTTGGGCCTTGATATGTGCGTTTTATGCACAGAGTATTTTGCAATCCATCACCCTGCTCGGCTACACGCGTGTGCGTGTGCTGGTGTCTGGCTGGTCCGCTCCTATATGCACATTCAGGGGCATTTTCAGTGTGCCGGTGGTCCAGGTTGTACTGCGTCATATACGCAGTAGACATCATTACGAACGGGATGCAGCGCACCAGGGCAAACGTGTCCCATCACCTGTCGTCCTCTGCAGTGCCTCTCGAGGTTGCTCCGCTGAGTCACTGCAGGGCTGCTATCTTAAGATGCCATCTCATTATTAGCATTTTGGGTGACAGTCTGTTGGTCCCTTACAATAAAAACATGATCACAGAAGGAAAACAGGAAGGATATTCTCGCGTACCAAATCTTCAGATATGGTCACTATGAAGATTAGATGGAAGCTTATTCTTTGAATTAACTCCCTAGATCCTTCTGGTTTCATTAATTCGTGTCTGGAAAGAGCAAGCTGCCCAAAACGTCTGTTTCGTGCAGAGTGGCAGGAACAGGACCCCCGAAAAACGACAGGATGTCCTGAGAGCCTGGATCTCATTGTGGCGGGCCGAGGCGGCATGGAAATGGAGCGCCACGGTCGCTAGGCAACCGTCCTCACCTTTGTGTGAAGCGTGTGGGATGGGCACGGGTGCCGGGCGGATGTGTCGTGTGTGTTTTCGCTCCGCGTGCGGATTACTCACACGGCTGACCTATTACTTAAGGCCAGTTAGACAGTTGCTCAAGCAGTCCTCCTCCATATCTGTCTGCTAACTAAATGAGGCGGCTAATTCAGAGAGATTAGTGAGGGCAGCATGCTTCTCAGAAGCATTTTTCTGTCTGTCACACACACACACACACACGTCGACCACTTGGTGAAGGAGCCTCGTTTTGTTGTTTGTGCAAGTTGTCATTGGCAGTTCACAGGTTCAGACAAGATAGTGGTGTTGTAATTCTTTTGAAAATTACTTGTCATAGAGGATTTTACCGTCTTTTAGTGAGCCGGCGCTGGATTTGTTTGTAAGGGAACTATTTAATTGACCTGGCAAATTTTTTTAAATAGTGTTTGATTTCTAAGCCATTTAAAAACTTCTGGTGTGGATTTAATGCCTGATCATATGACCTGCCCTAGAACTGCCTAGAAATGCATTGATCCGTGCCACTGATCGCTAATTACATTTCTGCCTTAGCTTTGGGCAAAGAGTTTGATTTAGTGTCTCACCGTTAACAACTGACTGTGTGCAGACAGTCTCTACTTCACTGAGTTTGTTGCTAAACTAATTGCTATGTGTCTATCTGATCATTCCTGGGCCAGTTAAAATATTTAACCTATTTGCAAATACCTAATATATTGCACTAAATAATAAATAAATACCTCGGTACTCGGAGCAGTCTGGGAATGTGCTGGCCACTGATTCCGAGTGATAGAGGAAGCGTGTTCGCTTCTCCTTTGAAGCCCACATGTTGTTTGTGGGAGCTGAATAGTCTGTACAGGTTCCTGTGTTGACCTGTTGGCATTTAGGATGCCGCTGTGAGCAGGAAGACGGGGCCTCGCCCAAATGCATACGTCTGCTCCACGTCCAACACCGCTGTCCCTGAGCATTGAGCAAAGGCTGACACAACCTTGCATGCGAGAACTTCAGAGGCACCAGCAAACCACTTTCTGTCAAGTCAAATGCACTCTTCACTTTTTTTCCCACATGCCGTAAATTTCATTATCAGGAATGTCCGTGCTGGCTGGCGGGAAAACAAAGCGCAGACTAGGCTTTACGTCGTAACGTGCCTTTGTTTGTGCAGTTTTACTGTCTCTAGAATGACTTCAAAGGTGGTGTTGTCCTGGGATTTGAGTTATGATGGAAAGTCCCCTTTCCTAATGCAGCGTATTGCCCAACATCTTTGCAAACACCGTAACGGGCAAGATCAGCCTAAGTGTAGCTACTGTGACTGTCTGTACTCTCACCGTGAGGTACTGTAGATCACTGGTGTGGCTTTTCCCACTGACTGCAACATACGAAGCCAACAGCTGGGTATATTTCAGGGACTGCGGCCAGGAAAGGTAGAGGAAGTATGGAAGGTGTTTGAAAATCCTTCTGGGCTGCCTTCAGGTGGTTTATGGGTAATGCCGTACAAAGAGGCTTCCTCTCCCAGCGTTGGGTCCCACACACAGCACCGCCCTGCCCCATTGCCCCGAGGCATGAGAAGGGCTTGGGGCGTTGCCAGTACCATGGCTGCCTGGTGTCTCCATGTCACTTAGTAATCTGATTCTAGAAGTTTCTCAGCCATTTTTTTTTTTTTTTTTTAAACCTTGCTCAGCCAGGGTTAGTGTACTTCTGGCCCTGATCAGCTGGACAGATATACACAAGTCTTTTCGCCTTTTGGATTAGGCTGCCCCCCCCTCCTGCCCCGAGGGTTAATGTAGCTTCTAAAATCAAAAAAGGGACTTTGTGGGGGATTTTGTGTTGGCCCTCCAGTCCATCACCACAAGGTCCAGACGGGTGATTATTAGTGACCTATCAATAAATCTTTTGGAAGTGCTTTGGGCCCATTTCAAACGCTCCCGGCTGCTTAATGAACCAGTGACTGGCCTGGTCTCGACCTCGCTGCCCTGCTTCCTATTGGCTGCCGTAAGCCAGTCGCGTGCAGAAGAGGTCAGGTCAGCCTGGTGGGGATGTGGACGTTCCTCGCAATAACACAGCATCTGTGTCCTAAAACGCTGAAATCCTTTTGCAGCCACAGCGCACCATGACCAGACACCAAATTTCCCAGAATGCAGTGTGCTGCATTATCAGAAGTGTTGATGTCTGTCCAGGAGAATTGAAATGATTTAGGTTTTTGAAGCGTATTTCGAATCGATGTGGGCAAAGCTGAAAGCTGCACTCGGAGTTCTCTGGCACTGTGCGTAGGCAATAATTGTGCTATAATTTTTATTCATTTAGTAAATTGCTGAATACATAACAAGTTGAATAGTTTTCATAACTTGGTGTTTCATTGTTTTTAATTCCCTTTAACACAGACTCAGACTATTGGATGTTTTCTGTGGCAGAACAAGCTAGACCTTTCAGACCAATGTTTTGTAAAGACATGCCAGTGCATGCAGTAATACCGCTGAATGGTGGATAGGATGGATAGATAGGAGAGAGAGATGGAGAGTTAGGATAGATGGATGGATAGATAGATGGACAGGAATAGGATGATGGATGCATAGATAGGATAGAGGTTGAATGAAAAGAATAGGTTGATTAGGACAGATGGATAGGATGGGCAGAATAGATTGCTGAATGGGATTAAGATAGATGGATAGATAAATGGATAGATAGATAGACAGATGGATGGATTAGATAGATGGTTTGGATGGAGGAGCCTGATGATGGCCGGCCAGAAGAGGAAGAAGGGACACCTTTCTTTAGTTTGGGTCAGCCTTGCTCACTCAGACCTGCAGATGCGTTGACCGCCTTTCCTCACCCACCTCGCAGATCTTCATCACGGTCAACTGCCTGAGCACGGACTTCTCCTCCCAGAAGGGCGTGAAAGGGCTTCCCCTGATGATCCAGATCGACACCTACAGCTACAACAACCGCAGCAACAGGCCCATCCACCGGGCTTACTCGCAGATCAAGGTGTTCTGTGACAAGGTGAGCTACGAGGACCCCTCCTCCCCCAGTCTGAGCATGCCGGCGTGTATCTGTGCCCTGAAACCTAATGTGTTCCCAGCGAAATATTTCCAGCTGATCCGTAGTCTGAATATGGTATTCCTCAGAGGTGCTACCATCTTTAAACCTTGTTTTGTAAAAAAAAAAAAAAAACAGCAAACCAACAGTAAAACTATGAGGATTGCCTTGCCTTTTATAATATTTAACAGTTGTGTTTTGTTGGCGTTTGCATTAATTGCTTTAAAAAATTCATGGGAAAATCCCTCCAGAGAGTGAGAGACGCAAACATACTTCTGGGACTGTTATAGGGATCAATAATCCATTGTACTTTCACTTTTTAAATTTGGTTCCATTGGTTTACTGATGTGTCCGTCTGTCTTCCTCTTTAAAGGGAGCTGAGCGGAAGATCCGGGATGAGGAGAGGAAACAGAACCGTAAGAAGACTAAAGGTCAGGCTTGCAGCACTCAGACCAATAACGGTACGCGACTGATCCAATAGCAGCTGTCACCTGCTGAGGTCATGCTGTTTCCTATTGGGTGTTGACGCTGTGAGTACTCTGTCATTGGTTAGGGAAGGATGCCAACCTGACAGCGTTATCCCCGTCCAAGAAGGCTGACGTCACTTACTTCAAATCCATGTCCAACCTGGATTCCCAGCCCGTCCTCTTCATTCCGGATGTCCATTTTGGAAACCTTCAAAGAGCAGGGCAGGTGAGCGAACGTCTGAACTTCACTGTCATTAATGTGTCGGCCGGTTTTATTACGTTATGTGTATCTTTGACCGAACACCGTGCACAGCAGTCACACCAGCTGTCGGTGCCCGAATCGTTTCTGCAAACTGTCACGAAGCTCGTTTGTGCTCAAAAACTTGTTAGGGAAAACATGGAGGAAATCTCTGTAATAAGCGTGGTCCTTTGTTTTGTTGTTGGCACATTCATGTGAATTGCACACTTGTGCACGTTCTGCCCCATAGTGGAGATTTCATTAGGACTTAAGAAGACACTGGCCATTTTTTAAAGAAAAAAATTAAATGTAAATCCATAGTAGATGAACTCACCCTCCTTGTTGCTGTGAGGAAGGTGTCCTGCATCCTGGTAACTGGGGTCTGGATTATTGAATCCTTTAGAGGGCTTTGGGCCTTGTTTGAAGTACAGTATTCGTGGGCTCTTCAGATGTTTGTGGTATAAGATGACTGCCCTCCACCATTCTCCATACTTACTCTTCTCACTGCCTAATCTTTAGGGGACTTTTATTGCGGCTTTTATCAAAGTGGCCATTTTCCTTTGTTCCCACAGGTCTTTGCCTTCAGCACAGAAGACATCGATAGGGAAGGGTACGTGGAGCAGGGTGACTGGCTGTCACGCAGCCCGTAAACAAGAGCATAGCGTGTTTGCGTGATTCAAAGTTGCTGGTTGACTGCAATCCCTTCATTTCCATCCCTTAAAATAGCTCTAGGCCTGAATGACTATGGGGTTGTTGGGGAAGCAGAGCCCTAGGATAGTAACAGGTGTCCGTCCAGCTAACTGAAGTAACACCTGCTTGTAGGAGTATCCTGGTAAAGAGGATGTTCAGAGGGCCTGAGGACGACTGTGGCCCCCCTCCTGCCAAGCTGTCCAAGGAGGAGACGCAGAAGCGAGGTGCGTGTGGCCCAAACTTGAAAACAGTTTCTCTCCGTTTGATCTACATCCATGCAAATGGCTCATGGGGTGACTGCTCACTGCATGCAAAGCAGCCATGCAGGACTGCAGCCAGCACTTTAGCAGGTCGCTCACACGGCTGCGCGATGCAGCTCATCTGCTTTTCCACCGGTGCAACTTAATCAGCATGGGGTGAAAATTGCAGGCAGGAGACCCCACATAAGACACTACATGCACTTGCTTTGATTAATGCAGTATTAACCATCTTATTTTATTTGCTAAGAGGCTGTAGTGTTTTGGTCATGCCCTAGTATCTAAGGGGATTTTCAGCACACGCGTAGGGATGCACCGATCGTATTGGCCAATTATCGGTATTGACTAATGATTAAAAATGAGGGTGATATTTACCGTCGATAATTCCCTTTTAAAATGGTGACTCGTATTGTTTCACCCACCCACCAACGGTTAGGAAGATGTCTGCTGTGTGAAATTATATTGCCGAAAACGTTAGAAATTAATTTTGCAAATGTTACCCTGCTAAAATTTCATGAGGAGGATCTACTAATAAGCATTCAACACAACACATTTGATTGCTCACCTCAAGGCGAGAGAGTCAGGAGTATTGAAGTTTCCGGAAAACAAATCCGTTCCAGTAAAGAAGACTGCAGTGCTTCCGAATAACGCGAGTCCGTCGGTAACGCAAGCGTTTGATAGCGAAAGAAAATCCAGTGCAGACAGTGAGAAATCAAAAGACATTATTCGGAAAATCATGGTGTTTATCACACTTGATGATCAGCCCTTCTCTGTTATAAATGTCGTAAATACAGTTATATGGTGCTCTGGGACTGCTGGTGTACGCCAGAGTTGGTGGTTTCTTACCGAAACATAAATACTTCTTTAAAGGGACACTCCACCCGAAAAAAATTGCTTATTTAAGCAGAACCACCCAAACATTCAGTATTGGTATCGGTGTCAGTTTTCGAAATAATCGGCTATCGTATCAGCCAGAAATTTCCTTATCGGTGCATCGGTACTGTTTTCGCAGTTCTTCTCTACGTGAGGAAGGAGTCCGATGAGGTGTTCGATGCACTCATGCTGAAGACCCCGACTTTGAAGGGACTGATGGAGGCAGTAAGTGACTCTCTCTCCACTACAGCTTTTCTGGGTCACCTCTGCACCTTGGGAGATCTCTCACGGGGTCACCCTTGGTACACCCAACGTCGGCACCATTTTCATGGCTGTGTGACACTGGGGAGGGATTTAAAAAATGTCTTAATGTTGTGTGTAGTGTGTTCTTGTACATCAGCAGTACATTTCTTTTCACAGATATCAGAAAAATATGGTCTGCCGATAGAGAAGATGGCTAAAATATACAAGAAGAGCAAAAAAGGGTGGGTTTCTCCTTTATGTATTTACTGGGAATATGAAATTTCCCTTTCCTTGCGTTTCTTACCCCACGTTTAAATTTCTTCGCTCAGAATCCTGGTCAACATGGATGACAACATCATTGAGCACTACTCGAACGAGGACACCTTTATCCTGGGCATCGAGGGCTTGGCCGACACCTACAGAGTCACACTGACGGAAATCTGAGGACGGGTGGCGGACCATAGCCAGTCGGTTGGCTGCACGTTTCCCAGGAGAGGGCAATAGCGTCATGGGACTTAATGGAGCAGATTGGCCCTGTTCTGTAAATACAGCCTGGACCAAGGGTGTCACTGGTGTATGCTACAGAGTCCCTATCATGCAAAGTGGGGTGGGGTGGGGTGGGGGGGGGAGTGAGACATGTTCTGATTTAGGCCTGTCACTCTGGATGTAGAACTGTCCTTAGACTGCTAGGGCTTCTGGGTGAGAGATCGTTACAACAGTGTGTCACCTTACAGATCCAGGGAAAGGTTCTAATAAGTGGAATGCTATTTCAAGCGAGGTCTCCCAAATTTTCGTGTTCCTTCACTATGTAGTTAGTCTACACTGCCCCCTACAGGCCGACAGAGGTATGTCACAACGAGGTTTTCTCATGAGGCTGCTTGTCCGTCTTGCAGATGAACTCCTTTGCCATTGTTCACTGTTCAGCAACGGCTCTAGGGCTAATCTACTAAAGAACCACAGCATTTATTATAGGTGTGTCCTGGCAGTAATGCTTTGATAGTAATGCTTATGGAGCCAGGTCACCTTGTACTTGTATAGATTCGTTATGATGCACACATCCACTTACTTGCGTCCATCTGAAAACAAGTCTTGTGACGTTTGCAACAGACGCTGGGAGAGCCACCGCGAGGAACTTGAAACTTCGGTCATCTGCACCATGAGCTGAAAGTCATTTTGTTTCTCTCCATTACAGCACTTAGCTTTGCCAGGCCAAAAAAAAAAAAAAGCAAAAAAAAATTGCATTCCTGTGTTTACGCATCTATAATTTGCTACCATGGTTCTATTCAATGTAGCTTTTTTTGTTTTTTTTTTTTTTATTGTAAAAACATATGTGTAGCGACCAAAGTCCTTTAAACCATTTTAAGGAGAAGGGGAAGTATTGTAATGAATCACTCTGTGGAATTCAAACTGCGCATTAAGTTCAGAGCAGGATTGGGCACGCTCAACCAGAAAGGGCTGCTGGGCCTGTGGGTTTTCGCTGCAGCTCCCTAATTCGATTACTAATTAGAGGACTGATTGGATGAACAGTCCTCACACATGGGTTTGAACAGCTGACCTAAACAGCACCCCAAAAATCTGCATACACACCGGCCCTTTGCGGATAAGATTGCCCACACCTGGTCTAGAGAAACAAGCACTGTGAATTAGATGCATGTAAATATATTACAACCCATTTGCCATATGAAAAATTGCTGAAATCTCTGGAAAGAAATCCTGTATGCCTTTGTACAAAATTTTATTGTAGGTGTTTTTGAATATATAATTTTGTACATATCTGCTTTTTTTTGAATAAACGGCAGCGTAAATGAGGCAGTAATGCTTTAGGTCGGTCGGCTTTTTACTGGTTGTCATCAAAGATGTGAAGCTAATTTCAAGATCTTTTAAAGTCTGAATTTTTTTTACTGTACTTGATTTTAACTAGCCACTCTCACTGACCTTATAACTGCTGAATAGCGATTCTGCCTCATTTTTGATTGCTTTGTATACACAAGCAATCATCTGGGTTCCCTGCTCCATCTTGCAATCATGCTAACGCCAAACCATTTTTTTTTTTTTTGCTGTTTAACACAGGATTTAATCTCTGCCGTTAAAACTGTTAGGGGTAGCTAATTCTTGAAACGTCTTTCCACAACCATTGCTCTCCAGCAAACTAACGGGTCAGAAGACTAAACTGTAAACCAGCAGTTTTTAGAATTACATTAGCATTGGAAACATTTTCACGTCATACGGCCGCAGCTGTTTTGTTCCCAGGTGTGAAAGACGGCTTGATCCTGTAAGAGTGTGAATAGGGAATGAAGCCACAAAGATCTGCTGCTCTTTCCCCAGCACTTGCACACAACCACAGAATTTACTGCCTTCTGAGCTATGACTGACAATGACCATGTGACTGGTGGCCAAGAAGGTTATTCTCATACCTGTTCTCCAAGGACCAACATGGTTCTCAGGGTTTGATGTCTCAAAAACCTGCCTGGAATCACGGCTCCTTCGTAGTTCAATTCTCTCCAATACTTCAGATATTCTGCTAATTTGAGAGTTGAGAATGGGTATCTGAACTGAGCACGGTCACATGATCTACAACTGCACTGTTTCCATTTCATCATTGTCCTTCAGTGACCGGTGTGTATGTTGAGTTTATGAGAGAATCCCGCAGCATTAAATTCCAGTGGCTAAATACACACCCTCAATAGGCTGGAATAAGACAACACTTCAAAAGCAATATGCTCACAGTATATGCAAGGTGCAGTGGCTACAATGTAAAGGAGAAAACAGATCTGAGACTGACTGCATTGGTGAACCCAGCCTCTCTCAACTTCAACCATTAAAGCCATGCTTTCCTGACTGATTTGTGTGACTAATGTATGCACAACAGGCGCTGGTGTTGGTACTGGGCGAGGTCAAAACATCAGCAATGGGGAGCTGAGCCAGACCAGCCAAGCTCAGCCCAAGCTGTCGTCTTGTGAGATTGCTTTTGACATTTGATGATATGTCTATTTCAGCAGTTTTAGGGCTGGATTAAAAATAACCACTCAGCATCACTTAATCACGTAACTGTATTACTAATGGCCTTTAACATTTTAAACATCCTGGCAGAAATCCTAAATCACTGTTCTGTGAGCATAAGCAGATTCCAGCTCGGCAAATCTTTATGATACGGTAACACTGCGTCACATTCAAAGTTGGTTACTTTGTAAGGTGCTGGATTCAGTCTATACTACAGAAGCTATGATTATAATTACATCTTGACAAATAAACGTTCCACCATTTATGTGTTATCAGGATTTAAAAACAGCATGAACGCACAGCCAAAGCACTAAACAGACATTTTTTAAATATTGCTGCTTTATAAGATAACCAAAACAAAAATCTATTTTTAAAAACTACACTGTCACAAAATACAGGTTACCATACAAAATCTACAAATGCAACAATTACAAACATTTTGTTCGACAGATAACAATTGTACAGTATAAATTTATACAATACTGGTTTCGTATATTTGGCACTTGACCACATGATGCTGATGTGTGTAATATCTCACCTGATACAGTATTTAAAATTTTAAAAAACAGCACAACTTGAAACCATCAATGTCGCTGCAGTAGTTGCAGTTGTTCTCAAAGGCTTAATTTTGTTTAATACAAAACAGCAGTTATTCAAAAACATTCAAATTTGTCCAAATCGTCAGTGTTGCAGTAACTGACACCACTGAGTTTAGGGTTGGAATCTCAGCTATGTCCAAGGGGAAGGAGAAAAGATCTGTTTTCCCGGGATTCTTAAATGATTGCCAGAGCCCAGACACAGGAGGAGTGTCAGCCCTGGGGAGGGATTCTTACTTTTTCCTCTCCTTTATCTTTTTTTTCTGGTTGGCTCAGAACCCTGATGGGTTTCACGTTTGATTATCACGGATGTTCAACAAGCACGGAAGGTGACCATGCTTCCAGCCTCACGTGTGGACAAAAAGCCATGACAAGCAGCCGGAAAAGAACCCACCCACCCCCACGCCACGGCACCCCACCCCACCCGTGTCGCGCATGTGTCAGTGGCACGTTCTCATGGCCTGGCCGTGGATGCTGGGCGTCCCCCATCTTGGTGAACACACCCCTGTGACTTGTAGCGATGACCCGGGGCAGTGACCACACGCCACGACGAAGGCACCGGTGCACCCGTGTATCTGCGCATCGCAAACACGGCTGCATAAAATGCACAGGTACCACCCCCTTCTGCACACGTATGCAAATCTCAAAACTACAAAAAAACAAACAAAAACACTAAAAACCTCACATGCACCATTTAAAAACATTTAAAACTGGATGTAAAGGTTTTTTTTCCCTGCTTGACGCAGAGATTTTAAAAAAGAAAACACATGCATGCTTCACTACCTCTTTGAAGCTCTTAGGGAAAAAACAAAAAACACTAAATCTCACTGCAACTGGAGTCTACTGATGAAAAACTGTAGATGTTAAATGATCTAAGCGACAGCATTGTTCTGCTTTAAAATAACATTGTCAAAAATACTGGCCCCAGTGTCTCCAGACACTGACACACCATTGTTTTGAGCAGCTTACCCGTTAACTAAGACAGCACAAAGAAATGCGGTGTTGCAAAACAAACTCCACCGCAGGAAAAAATGCGAGTCCACGCGATCACCGCTGACGCGCGGAGCTCTGAAATGCACATGAAAGCAAAGCTGAAAAGCCAAGGGACCAAGCGAAGCTCGTCCTCGCTCTGCCGGTGCAGTCGCAGGAACAGATGCATAGCAAGGCGTGTGGTCCTTCTGTGGTTATAGAATGCTCAACGGACATTTGTGTATATCATGCGTAGAGTGGACTGGAAAGAAAACAAATCATGACCTTTCAGTGGGTCAGATCCCACATCTATCTCCAAATCCAGGAACATACCTACGTCTGTTCATGTCTCACGCATGCTTGAGTGTGCTGTTGTGGTTGAGTCTTGCAGAGCACTGGGGAAGCGCGAAAGCGTGCAGCACCGGGACCAATCAACAGGTGGTTATGGTCAGTAGTGAAATCACAAGGAAGGTTCTTGGGGTTTGGGGGGGGGATGGGGTGTCCATCTTCTCTCGAGGTTCACCCCGTGAATCTATGATCCTTGCTGGGGTCTCGTGCTTGATACTTGCTTGAAGGTCTTTTCTGTCAGTTTCTCCGCAGGGTTAAGGCTGGGGGGGAGGGGGAGGGCTGGGGGTGATTTCTGGTAAAACACCTGACACACGTTGGGTCGGTCAACCCAAAAAAGCACTGGAAAGAAGCAGAAATGGGAAACAAAATAAATAAAAAGTTAAATCCATCCCAGGCATCTCCTGATGAGGGGCCAAACCCAGACTGTGACTCCACACAGACTGTGACTCCACTTTCCTTTGCATCGCCAGGGCTAATTAGCATTTTAATGAATGCAATCAAGGCTGAATTAAAGTGGGACGAGCCGAGGGGGGTTTCAGTGGAACACCGGAAGCTCCCCCCCCCCCCCCTTTTAGGAGGCAAGGTCATTGACACTAAAAGACAACAGGGAGCCGATATCAACAGCCCAATAGGGCAGAGACACAGACAGGGATGTGCAGCTCAGGACATAATCATGCAGAAAAGCAAGGAAAACAGCCCACGGCTTCTCACCAACTCTGATGATGGATGCAGCTGCTGATTTTTTATTCTAATACTACAATTTCCCTCCCTATATCATTCTGACGATGGGTTATCAGTCAAATTCTGACCTGAAACTTGTCATGGTGACAGGCAAGTGTGGGCTTAACCTCACAAAACCTATTGACAAACAACGGATGATGTCTATTTCTGACGAGAAGAGGCGCTCTCTCACTGGGGCAAATGCTGGGAAGCGAAACCTCCTGCATTATCACTCCCCACGCAAAGTCTGGGAGTATTAGCCAGCTTAGCCAAAGTGCTGTCTATGGTCCAATGGGTATGGAAATATCGTATCAAACCAGACAAAACTTTAGGACTCTAAGTGATTTTCTTAAGTGTTTTAAATTTGCGTTTGGGAGTTCAGAGAGAGTACATGTTTACTGTTTTAAGGTTACTATGCATCAACTCCTGGTTTAATATTTGTATAGTAGGTGAGTTTCTACTGTTTGAAGTTGAGAAACATAACAGTCAGGAGAGCACTGTTTTAAAGTATTTGTGCCTATTTTAAAGTATAACAATACTACTCAAAATGGTCAGTTATCAGAATTTTCCACTCCTTAAAATCTGCACTGGTATTGCAGAAAAAAAATCATATTGTTTGAGCCCCAAGCAAAAGTCCCTAATGACAGGGAGTGAGTCACTTAGTCCAAAACATTTCTGTTACTCAGTGACTTGATACCTCTGTGCACCTTTTTAAGGCATGACTTAGTGAGGGGGTGTGGCCCCGTCCACACTGTAGACAGGCCGCCGCCCACCAAAGACCAGACACCAACATCCAGGGGTAGCATAGAATGACCTTAAATCCAGAGACGGGTGTAAGGTCTGGTCATGGCTACCACTACTAAACAGGCGGCCATTTCAAGATAATGAAGACGGAACATGGATTATTTTAATGTCTAAACGGAACAACGAAAAAGACAGGGTGTGAACTGGCCACCTGATGACCATCCCAGCTGAAATTTTCTACAGGTGCCACTGCTAAAATCACCCCTTAAAAAATAATCTATATAGAGTGGCTTGGGCGTCAATATTGGGGGGGGGGGGGGGGTTGTAACCCCCTCTATAATCAAAACCAGCTAATACAACCCCCAGAACCCCGTTAAATGGGTGGAGACCTCAATCCCTCCAATGCTTAAGCCAAAGTTATGTCCTTGCAGAGTGGATCAAAAAGTACTAAGTACATGTGAAAGTGACCCAAACTGATGCATCACACAGGAATACTTCAGTGATTGCTACTCCTGGCCGGAGCTGTGTAAGCTGAAGTAACACAGAGAAAGGAGGTAGGAGTGAATTACACTGTGCCTGGTCGGCTGTGTTTAAAACTGGCCAGCACTGCTGGGGTCACACTGGAGCAGGCGCACGATGGACGGGTCACTCTTGGCTCCCTTGATGAATTCCTCCAAGGATAGCTTGCCTGGATGGAATGACATAAAACGACCTGGTCAGCTCACCCGCATCCAAGTCTGTGCGTGACAGCACAGCCGTTCCTGTTTTGGAAACCGGGCTGTATGACATACTTTGAGCCAGCAGGGGGTGCTGTGGTTTTACAGCTTCATTTTATGACTATAAGTTTTAGAGGGTGAAAGTTCGGGATAAAGTTCTAAACCCACTGTTTAAATGGATAAAACTTGTCAATTTGGGAAATGTCCGCAGAACAGCTGAATAAATTATGCGATTATTAGTGGAATGGAACACCAGACTGCAGTTACACTGTATGTACAGCAGGTGGCCCACTGATGAGCTCTTGGTTCCTCAATCCTCAGATGATAGTCTACTGCGTTACAGCCCCCAACAGTGACTTCAAAGCATGTAAGATGATGAAAAAAGCATATTCTCAGTTTATTTTGTAACAACAATCAGAAAAAAACATCCCTCAGCACATCTGTCTTTGTCCCTAAGACGCTAGTTTGGAAATTTACTACAGAATGGAGATGAAAACAACAGATCAGGGCTGCAGCGTCTCCACCTCAATGCTGGGGAGATGGGGACTGCAGACCCACAGCCACATGGACTCCTCCCTCACGGGATCAGAATGACTTATAAAGAGGAGAAAATGTGCAGAATCCTCGCAGTGTTTGAGGATTTTAATTCTGATGTCTGACTTTGGTGGAATGACTGAAGAATGCAGGAAAAAAAACATACTGAAAAACTGGGGACTGCCACTGGAGGTACTTCGGAGGGTGAAATGCACATCATACCACAGAGTAGGATTCCACCCCTACCAGTAGAGGGCAGCATTCCATATACCAGCAAAAATTAATATTCATTCATGATAACGAATGAAGCATTAAAAAAAAAAATATATATAAAATAAATAGCTAGGACCTTCTGAATGCAAATAAAATCTAATTAGCTAGTTGCTTCTGAGGAACTGAGGGTTTCACTAAAAACACGAGACAATTCTGAAGTGTGACGTAATTTACTAACAGATGGCAAGGTTTTCTGTATGAGCAGCCTGGTCATTTTGGTTAGCGCGCGTGTTTTTTCACGTACATATTTGAAGAGCGACACACTCACCATCACGATTGGTGTCCATCTGCCGGAAAATCTTCTCTGTCCTCTTCTCTGGAGTGGACTCATCCTCTGGCATCTTCATCACGGAGGAGACCATCTTGTAGATTGCCTGAAGACAGGGATCAGAGGTCATGTAGGAGGGACGATGTTATAACTGAACGAGATATGGAATTCACCCCACGCCCCTCAAGTGAACCATAGACCTTCCTTAGAAAAAAAACCTTTTTATCCAAACCTGCATATGTAGTTTCTGTTTAGTAAGTTTTCCTGAATTTCACTGCTGCATCTTTGGTGAAGCACTTTCCTCAAGGGCATACATTTCTCACCTCAAGACCAGATACTGAAAGTTAACGGTGGTAAAGTCGAGTTCCTAAACCACTACAGTGTGAGATCAACCAATGTGCAATCTTCTACATCAACAAAGCACATGCAGAGAAACTTCTCAACCCATGGGTCGCGACCCAAATTTGGGTCACGGCAAGCTCTGAAATGGTCACAAGGCAGACCACAGATGCATAATTTTAAATTCACTGGCACATCCAATCAGATTTGAGCTACAGGCATAGACTGGCATTAACTGCGCTGCACTGCATGCCTGATCATGGTGGTAATTTAAACCTATACTTGATATAGGGTCGCGACTGAGCTGGCACGGTAAAAAGTGGGTCGCGATACAAAAAGAGTTGAGGACCACTGTCCTAAAGCATCTTAAAGTAGAGGGCCTCAGTGACCAGTGGCACAGTTGTAGCAGAGATGCAAACCTGGAAAGCCTGAAAGAGGGTCTAGTTATGAAGGTGCACTAAATGAACACACTGGTATGGTCCAGAGTGTCTGAAAATTTAATGAACAATTCCACAGCGCTGCTTAAACCTCAGGGCAATTACAGCCAGCGTGTGACTAATTGGAGCTCTGCTTATGGAGTATTTCACTCCAAAATTGTGTTTTTTTCCCCCTAGCCTTCCCTAAAAGTGATTATGAATTGCAGGATGCCTAATCAGTCTGCTGCAAATGCTGTTATTACGGGTCACTTGACAGTCAAAGCTGTCTGCAATATCAGCCCCCAATGACTAGGGAAAGAAAAAGAGAAAGCATGGAAGAGAACATTCGGGAAAGACCAGCTGTGTTTTCCCCAACAACAGCACTGCGATGGTGAGGATGATGTGGCAGCCCTGGCACAGAGATGTGGGGGTGGATAGAGATGGGTATGGCAGTGCACACCTGAACACATCACCTGGCTAACCAAGCTGGAGGTGTGGATGCAGGTAACAGAGAGTAATGCAGGGGGTGAAATGCCACAGAAATTACTGACGGCCAAAAACTTCAGAATATTACTCTCTAAACTCCATCTTTCCCTGTCACGGCCTCTACTGCAATTTCCATTGTCAACAAAAAAAACATGATACTAAAAGTGTATGTTTACATCATAACAAAAAACACCAGATAGGTGAAAACTAGCACTGAGGGGAACCTCAGAAGCTGGCCTGAGCTTGATTTCTCTGCACTGACTGACTGCTGGATGTGGGGGATTTATATAAGCCTGCTCTCTCTGTTAGCTGTTGCCAGCCACCCTCCCCTCCACCCCACTCCACTCCAAAGGCAGTGGGAGTAGGGAGCCACTGATTAACCAGATACCCCATGGAACAGCCTCACTCGAGCACCCCTAACCCCCTGAACACTCCTCATACGTAGCCCCGAGGTGTGGGCCACAATACCCTGCAGGAAGGTCTACCCGGCTCCCTCAAAGCGCTGCGGACGTTAGCGGAGACCCACCAAACACAGCTTGAAATCGCAAAAGTGCTCAGGTAGGTTGTTATGGAGATATGTGGTTGCCATGGTGATGTACGGCAGTATGGTCGTCAAGGAGATGTATACACTGAGCAGAGGCTTTATCTTGCTTTCTGAGGCCCAATCAAACGCCCCCCCCCCCCATATATGTCCATCAAGCTCAGCTTCAAGACAAGTGAACTTACTTTACATATAACATGAAAAAATACTGCAGTGTCAGAAGACATTCCAGATTCTAGCTGTCCATAGTGACTGAAACCTTCCATGTCCAAGTTGCGGTTTGCATGTAAAACTTGAGAGGCAGACAACCCATGGCAGGATCCATGGTCCAATCAGATGCTTCGCCCAGGCTTGGGGGCGGAGCCTGGGAAGCCACAGATGCCTCTGACTGAAGACGTGTGATGGTGAGAGGGGGGTGATGTTTTATTCATGTGGCAGACTCCTTTCCTCTCTGCAGTAAATTGTGTCAGTCATACACCCACGCCTGCACACGTGTGATACACATACACACGGAGTCCGGCATGTGGGCGTGTTTTCTTCCCACACACAGGCGAACACACACTTCCGTGCCACTTTTTTTTTTGTCATTTGAGAGCGCTCATTTAATCCCCTCTCGCTTCCGTAGGAATTCAGCACTCAGCTCAGTACCACACCACTGGCCAGGATGGAACCAAACTAGTGGCATCACGGTCCCTCAAACCTTCAGTGACGGTGACACCCTCCGGCTTCAAATATCACCCCTGCGGGCCGGCGATTGCCAGACGCTTTCACACTGTTAAAAACAGCAAGTCTCAGAGCACCGAACATACTTCAGGGGAGAGGGGCCCTACATCGCCAACTGCACGTCAACAAAGCGCTTATGATTTTTAGCTGCTTTTCTGCAGCGGGGCCTTCAGCATCACGCTCCCCTCCGGGGCCGTTTACGGCGTGGGGGGGCACACTTCTGGGGACGCGTCCGGTAAGCACCCCCACAGTCAGGCCGATTACTGGCTTAAAGAACATCGCCCGACACTGTGGGACGAAGCCTCAACACGCGGGTGGCCCACAGCCACAGAAGAACAACATTTAAACAGGGAAGCATCACAGACACGAGAAAAGACTGTTAAACTATTGTACCGTTTCAAATGATATATTACATTACATACCTGTTTATTACAGAACAACAAAGCTATCAGCTACCAGTCAAAAGTGGAGCATTTTCATTTACATTCATTTACCAGACACTATAATCCAAAGTGATGTCAAAGTGAGTCAAACGGCACATTACAAACATTCATGCTGTCAAGAAGTCAACTATGCGTAAGTGCAGCTAGGCTGAGCTTACAATGAATGCCCAGGTACAAGTGAAAGCAGTATTAGAGCAGGAGAGACAACATCTAACGAAGGAAGAACCTAATAATGCAAGGGCTGGACGATGTGGACCTTCTGGTATCTCCATATTTTTAGGCAGAATAGAGATAACACAAAAAATCTGGTATTTTCTATGAAGTGGGCGAAACGTTCGATTTTAACGCAAAGCCAATTGTGAGAAGTCACGAACATTTAAAGCAATGTGGCCAAAATTAAATTAAAAATTTCTTTCCTCCTTCCTGCCCTATCTGAAAATAAAATAAAAATTGCTTCGATCTGCGTTGCATGGGTCTGATAAAGCAGCACGACATGAGAGGCTTTCACTCCACTATGTCCAGCAACAGATTTTTTTTGTCAGTTTATGAGATTGCTCTTAAAACAGAAGGTTAATGTTTATGGACAAAAAAAATTAAAATCTAAAACCTATTTGGCAAATGCCTGTAAAAACAGAAGCCTGTGACGACTAGCGTACTTAAAGCACCCTTAACTGGAAAGACCGTCATTTTCAGGTACTGTCCTTCAACAAAATAAAACGTATATTTCAAATTACCATCTATTTAGCCTGTGAGCCATTTGGCAATGTTTTAAAACAAAACGAACCAAGTATCAATTATTAGAGAAGTACTGATTGTATCGGCCAGCTACCAGTGTCAGCCGATACAGCAACAATCGGCCATCGGCCTATGCTTAACAATCGGCTGATATTTACCGCCGATAATTCCCTGTAAAATGGTGAACCCCTCATTGCTTTACACACCACGTGCTAAACAGTTAGAAAAATGTCTGCTACGTGGAATTACTCGAACATTAGTGAAAATGACATTAGAAATGCATTTTGCAAACATTGCCCTGCAAAAATTTCATGGGGAGGACCTACTAATGTTTCAGCGCAACAAATTTCACTGCTCGCCATAAAGCGAGACAGTGATGAGTATGAGGAGTTTCTGAAAAACAAATCCATTCCAGTGAAGACTGCAGTGCTGGCGAATAACACAAGTCCGTCGGTAACGCAAGTGTTTGATAGCAAAAGAAGAGTGCAGTTTCACACTTGATAATCAGCCCTTCTCTGTTATAAATGTTAGAAATATATATAAGACGTGTAGAGTTATAAACAGGGATGCACATAACTGGCACGCAAGTATGCATTCATCTTACTCGTCGTACTTCGTGGATGTAGAAAATCTCAGTGTGCAAAACTTTAGACTGCTAGTGAATTAGAGGCCCTGGTTACATACGATACATAGCGATCTATTGGTGTTTTCGTACAAAAAATTAACACTTTCGTATTTTTGGAAAGCAATTCATTTATTTTTTAATTTATTTGGTTCGAGTGTTTCTTTAAACTTATTTAAGCAGAACCTCCCAAAGAAATCAGTATTGATGTCAAATTTTGAAATAATCGGCTATCGGTCAGTAATTTCCTTATGGGTGCATCACTAAATGATTCTTCCCCTCCATCAGCTTCCCCATGAGACCCCACCAACTGAAGGCTTTGATTTTAGCTGTGGATTCTGGGAGTCTTTGCAACATCACGACCAAACCCCTCTTGTTGTTTACAGCCAGCAAGTAATACTATTGGCTTCTATTAAAAATCTTTAATAGAGCCCTAATTTTAATACACAATAAATGGTGTATTGATACAAACAATATACAGTACCACCATCCTATATCTCGTTTTGAAAACATATACTGTTAAAATTTGATATACTGCCCAACCATAAATAAGAGAATTCGATGACAAGCAGTGCAGCCTTCAGAACATTCAGGGAACAGGGAGGCATCCTGATTGTTGGTCCCTTGATCCAAACTGGCTCCAGACCCGGCTTGTAAAACGGGTCTTCTAATGCCATCTTGCCCCCTGGTGTCGCCCGCAGGCCCGCAGCCCCTCCAGTGCTCTCGAGGTCCATGTCCCACTTCTGGTGCGATGCAGACTCGGGCGCGAGTCAGAGCTGAACGAGGACTCATGATCACGGCGCAGTACCAATCCCAGAGGCGTCCCGCATGTAGTTAATCACTTAGGGATTAACCGAGGATTACTAAGCACGACCCGGCATCTTTAACACGATGGTATTTACCAGCCGGCAGCTGCCCCTGCACAGCTCCCACGTTCCGCTATTTGTACAGCTGGCGCATGGTTACAGGGGCCAAGATCATCTCTTTGAACCGGTAACACTGTAGGCAAAGATCCAGTTCAGCCCAAATCCCCTGAATGCAAAGTGCTAATGGCAGCACAGTCAGCTATATCCAACATAAAGCCAACATGCATTTTCATTTCTTTAAACTGGCAGACATTTCTGTCCAGAGTGAAAAAGGATGTTTGCAGGGAAAAAGAGCTGCATGTACAGAAATGCGAGAAACGTGTCATCTCGTGGGCCGACCTGGAGCAAAAGCTCTGAGCTCAGTGCTGCTGGGTTCTGATCGGCGAACCCGGGACCCATCCTAGCATGGCCCAGCGCGGCCTCACACAGCCCACCGGGAGAAGCCGGACCCCAGGGTGGGTCGGTGACTGCTGAGTGCCCCCGCATGCATCTAAATTTACACACATGCAGGGGAGGGGGTGTGCGGGGCTGGAGGGGGTGTGCGGGGGTGTGTGGGGCTGCAGGGGGTGATAGGAGCTCCGCTTGCAAGAATTAGGTGAAGCTGAAATGGAACGGGTGGGGGGGGGGTTAGCAGAGGTATGCTTTTTGGTGAGGGAGCAGAGCATGTTTACATGTGCAGGCCTAAAGCGAAGCCTTCCCTGCTTTCGAGAGAGACGCCCTGTTACCCAGATACATGCGTCACGCTGGCTGTGAGGGATGGTGACACTGAGGCCCCCCCCCCCGGGTTTCAATGACAGCACCAGTGTGATGTAGGGGCCCCCCTGAGGTCCCTCTGACACTCCGCTGGTGAAAATGACACCCCTGTGGAGGAGCCGGGGCCACTCACAGCACCAGCCGGCACGTTTCCACTTTCCTCCTGCTCTTGAGACTAGTTTGCACCAATTACTGAAATAAGCGAAACTTTCCACGGTTATGACCCAGAAAGAGTGGCCAGATCAGTTTCCAGGGCGACACAGAAACCCACCGTCTGAACTTCCTGGCTACGCTATGCCGGGTCGGCTCATCTTGCGGGACATCGCTGTAAGTCCGGTGGGCATCGCTCCAATCTATCCCCGCGACCCTGAAAACTCGCCGCACCACTAACGTTCACAAAGCATTAGGCACGAGGTACACACCAAAGACGGTGACACCTGCAGCAGCTTAACGGGATAATTACAGGAGTTATTAAATACATCCTAATAGGGCTGCGCAATTAATCGTAAAAAAAAAAACCGTGATATCGATTCGCACCTCTATGCGATATCATTTCTAAATTACAACGGTAATACAACGGTATTACATCAGCTGGATCAAAACAAGCGATCCTACTTTTCCCCCAGAGAGTATCAAGTGTCCAGTAATTCTGCTTCCTCTTTAAAGGACGCTTTCCCACTGCACCATGTACTTTATTTTTGGTACTTCAAGAAACTACCAAAAGTACGGTACTTCAAAGTGGTTTTCCACTGGCGTAAAAACCGGTACCGGTGCTGAGGCAGGGCATCTTGCACTGAATTCGAAAAATGGCTGATGTGTATTTTAGGACTGGCCAATGTGCGATATTAATACCACCATCGCATATTGTGCATGTGCAATTGTTACTTCGCCAGTCGGCAAGATTAAGATCAGGCTTTTTCTTACTTTCAATTCTGTATACAGACATTATCGCGAAGGAAGTTTAAGTTTCGCTAAAACATTTTTACGCTGTCACAGGAAAAAAAATTACCAAGTTTCGTAATTTTAATTACTCCTTTTCAGGATTATCTAGCATATGTTTAAAAACAAGTTTTAAGTTTACCTCCCCTGCTTTTGCATGAGCGCTGCATGCGTTCTCCGAGTCAATCATAATCATTTTCATCCATGCAGTTTTAATCACTCCTTGATGGGTTTTTGAGAAATTTATGTTGAACTCCTTTTTGAGTTATAAATACCCCAATGTTTATTAGAACAACATCACATTGCAATACTTAGAAATTTTCCAATACCATGCTGTCATAGTATATTCTTGTTATGCTATCCTGATCTTGTATCTGTTCGTCCAATCAGATCGCAGTTAAAGCTTGGGTCACTTCATTTGTCCATGCATCCATTTTTATTATTATTATTTTAAGTAGTTTTTCGTTTTCTAACTGTTCTCAAGACAGTGGTTGCATTGCATTTCAGAAGCAGGCAAAATGCATAAACGTTCAACAAAGACAGCTTTCCCACCCCGAAGTACCAAAATACCGAAAAGTACCTCGCTGGCACTTTTGGTACCGGCTGATTTGGTTACCCTAACTAAATAACTAATTGAGCGTTTTCTTTCTGTTATCAGAAGCTGATACGGTCCTGGAGAAATCATACGTTTGGCACAGTCACGTTTTGTTGGGTTTCTTTTTGCAGTTTAATGAGTCCAATAAACTTTAAATGTAAGGGGGAAAAAAATCATTACACAGAATCGTGTTCCCAATTCTAAGCAAAAGAATCCCGATTCACATTTTCCCCCCAGAACTATACAGCCCTACATCCTTAACAAGCAAAGGAAAGTCTTCGCATTTTAATTTTTTTTTTAAAACTCTGCCGTAGGGAGGATAATTACACTTCCTGCAAGTAAAGACAAAAAGCTGCATCATTTAGATGTTATTAATTTCACTGTGAAATTAAATCCCGACTGGAGCTGCTGTTGCTGTCACCTGAATAAGTGTCATGAAACTCTGGCACTAAGGGGAGTGACTCCAAGCCTCAAGCACCTCAACATGACGGTGCCTAGGCAGCCTTCATACTGACAGGTTATACAGAGTTATGTGGCCCCCACCCCACACGACGAACCCCCCCCCCCCCCCCACCCCATCCCGCCCCCACCTGCACAATCTCCAGCATCTCGGCCTTGCTGATGTAGCCGTTGCCGTCCAGGTCGTACATGCTGAAGGCCCACTTGAGCTTCTGCTCCAGCTTGCCGCGCGACGTCACGCTCAGCGCGATGATGAACTCCCGGAAGTCTATCGTGCCGTCGCCGTTGGCGTCGAAGGTGCGGAACACGTGCTCGGCGAACTTGGAGGCGTCGCCGTACGGGAAGAAGTTGCCGTAGATCTTCTTGAACTCCTCCATGGACAGGTGGCCGCTGGGGCAGTCCCTCAGGAAGCCCTTGTACCACTCCTGGATCTCGTGCTCGGTGAAGTCGGTGCTCTCCAGCAGGTCCTGCATCACCTCGGGGCGGAGTTTGCTGTTCTGCTTGCCCATGGCTTTCGTGCGGTCTTGGCTGTGATGGGGCAAAAAGGGGGGTAGGGGGGGATGACATATGTGTCACATGACTTTAGCTTTTTTTTTTTTTTTAAATTGGAGTCCTTTAGCACTCACACTTGTGTACGACGCCCCATACGGCCTTACACTTTAATTACAATGTAACTTTAAAGGCTCTGACAGCTGGGTGCAGACTGTCAAATCAGTGAACCATTTGGTTGCCAATGTGTATCTTTAACCAGCTGCAAATCCCAGCATCCTTATGAGCTTGTAGCAGCTGCTACGACCCAGAGCCACCCACACCACCCACCAATCCACCCACCCACACCGCCAATCCACCCGCCCACCCACATGCTCAGGCTCCATCCTCCACATGCCGGCATTCCACACGCAGCAAGCGGAAGCTGACAGGACTTTCCACTGGGCTACAACACACACACACACACACACACACACACACACACACACCTCCACAGGCTTTCAAAATATCTTAAATACTCAAAGGCAAGACATCCATCAGTATGCTGATCATCAGTTTTCTAAATAGGTACAGGTTCATCTTAGGATCGTAACACATCATACCACAAAACCAGTTCAAACTGAGAAATCCTTCACCTGAATGACTAAATGGTGCCTATTTTTAACTAAACTATAAACATCAACATGTCTGTCACTGGAAAAAAGACCCAAAAGGATACTGCCAATAAAAAGCGGACCATAACTGTGCAGACACAGTTTACATCTTTTAAATCAGGAAGTCTTGTTCAGCATCAGTCTATACATGACATTTCGGGTAACTCTAAACAGGAAGTTTCATTCTTGCTTTCTCCGCACACATCTGAGCAGAGACCTCTGCTCCGTGCCGCAGAGGAGCTGCCGGAACCTGATGTCCGGCGTTTGCCGGGACGCCGCGAGAGGAACCTGAAAACCAGCTGGTGACCCTGTTTCAGTGAAACCAGAGCCGCTGTGAAGAGTAACTAACTTTTCTCTGGCTCACTAATAGACACCGCGGTGCATCTTCGACTTTTTTCAGAACGGAGACAGGAAATAACCGGCTGAGCTCTCACACCACATTCCCATAAGGGAAACAGACAACGCTCAAAGGTCCAACAGCAGATGCTGAGACGGGGGGCCAGCGGAACTGCTGGGAGATCGGCACAGCGGAGATTAAGCAGTAGTCAGAAAATAATAAAAATAATACATCCGGAATTGGGCGGGGGCAGTAGAATGAGCTGGGAACTCCAGGGCACAACGGACACCTCACTCAAACACGTAGTCAAACAAGCACTGCACATGGCAGTCATTCCCACTGGGACCAGGCACTAAAGCTATTAGAAATTAGGCACAACAACATCAGTCTGCATCATAAACTCTTCACCGGTCCAATTCCTCACCAGTCCTATTATGAGCAACCCTCCTTCCAAAACACAAACAGCTGCACTGCAGTCCTCATACTAATACTTCCAGACACTGGCAGTGAAGCTACCTGTGTCTGCATTTTGCATACGTGACAAAGGACTCGGCCTCTCAGAATCAGAATCAGCTTTATTCACCAAGTGTGCTGGGGCACACAAGGGATGTGCTTCCGGCTGCTTGAGACGCCCTAGTACACAGACACACACTACAGTCCCAACAATTTAAACGAACACACCGAAGATCCCAAAAGACGTAAAAAAGAAACAAAGCAGGTTCATTTCCCTGCTGGTCAGATCAGACCCAGGAGGATTAAGGCAGAGAAGCAGGGATTAGAGTCTGCAGGCGTTCAGCCCCCAGTTCATTTATCATCAACCCCCCCCCCCTCCCTGCACCAAGTCTAAACAGGGCATTAAAACATAGTGTGAGAGCGCAATTACAGCAGATAACAAGGGAAGGGGAACAATTAACATCCCCCCCCATATTCACCTTACCATTGGTGCACTTGGATTAATCTGAAGCTCAATCAGAATGCATACATTACAGGAGGGGTGTCAATACTCTACCTTCACATGTAATGAGCGAAGCACCTAATCCATGAACCCCCCCCCAAACCCCAATCGTGGAAATTCTAAACGCTGGTGATGCAGCAAGACTTTTTCTTTACAGGAGTCGACCTACAGTGGTTCTGAAAAGCTGCGGGATTCCCTCTCAGTCGTGATCTCACCCCCCCAACATGGAATTAACCACCAAATGGGTACAAAGTGATGGAATGGAATAGCCACCCTCCCCCAAGACGGGCCTCTGCACGATTATTCAGCCGTCGAGTGACACCAAAACCCACATCATAAAAATCAAGTACAATTACACTTCATTAAAAATAGGTCTGAAATATACATACAGCCTGTAGGATTCACCCTGCAGACTTAATTGGGGGCTCTAATAAAGAGAGTAGTAATTACAATCTACAATCCAAAAGTAATTACAATCAACTAAATCTGAGAGATTTTAACGAAACAAAACGAAAACACAAAACATCAACACATACATTCCTATCAGCTCCTCTGTGAAAGTGTGTTTATTGGGGGGGGGGGCACATTACAACTAGGAAGTAAAACAGAAAACAATCTATCTTGTATTTCTGTTCTTTGATACAGGGAATATCTGTAAATAAAAACTCAATCTGAAAATACAGCAGGAAATGTGTGCTGGGCCGCGTCGGTCTGCCTGCAGTGATGCCCACGGGGACGATAACTGGGGCTCAGATGAGCTTTGGATGAATGTCAGAGTTGTCTGCCCTAGAAAATGAGAGACAGGACCCTTTTATTCAAGTAGCAACATTTCTGGGCTAGTTAACCCCCCCCCCCGCCCCCACCAACCCCAAATCGGAGAGGCCTCTTTACCTCCTCCTTCAATCCCCCAGCATAGTGCTGCGTGGGTTTCCATGGAAACCACCCCAAAAGAGTTACTAATTGATTTAGCGTCGCTAATATGCAAGCAAGTCACAGGAAACAATTTGTGTGTAGCTGCCTGTGCGCGCTTGTGCATGCGTGTGAGTGTGTGTGTGCGCGCTTGTGCATGCGTGTGAGTGTGTGTGTGTGTGTGTGTGTGTGTGTGTGTGTGTGTGTGTGTGTGTGTGAGAGACCATTCCCACACCCAACTGGTCACCACAAAAAACGATACTTTAACTGTGCAGATGTCCGTCTCTGCCCTTTGTTGAATGACCCACCCAACCCAGTGCTGTCCCTTTTACTTTGTTAATCTGGGTAAAAGGCGGTGATGCCCCCCCCCCCATCCATCCACTGCCCCACAGACATTCCAACACAAGAGAGAGACCGGATCCAACATGGCTGCCACTTTCATTTTCAATGAGAAAGGGGGAAAAAAAACAAAAAGAAACACCAATGCAGGAGTCCTTATATTCCACAGTGACTGCGGCATAAGGGACTAAAACTGCAAACAGAGACTGGAATGGCTGGTGGATGAGGGAGTGGGTGGGGGGCAGGTGGTGTGGGGAAGGTTTCTGACAGAAAGCAGTACAGCAGAGTCATATTAATCAATCTATCAACCATGAGAGCAAATGCTGCTGTATAAGACCAATGGGAAATAAAACGACAGGAAAAAGTTGGGTGGGAAATATACTGTGGGTATTGCCAGCTGTCACTGGCGGCAACTCCCCCCCCCACCTCATAACGGTCTTTTCTTGACGAAGGAGGGGGTGTGCTGGGCTCAGAGTGAGACATCTGTACCTTTTGTGTGAGGAAAGCCAGCTTAGTCACTAGAAGAATAGAGCCGGAGAACAATGTCAATTTGATGGACGGGTCAGCCTGGGGTGGGGTGGGGGGCGCCCTAACCCACCCTCACGGAGGTCCGCACAACTGGAAAGGAAAGAGGCTGCTGAGGCAGCTGAGGCACATAGAGGGGTCAGTCCTGCCTCCCATTTTCAATTACTGCTATTCTGCAGTGATACAAACCGCATGCTGTCAAATCCAAGCATCCCTGATAATTTGTGCTAACTTTACCGGGCCGTGCATTGGAGAGAGAGAATCATACAGCGTGGCATCATGGGAACTGACAGCGGCATCGAGCATGACTGATCCACCACGGCCAGTTTAATCGAAAGGGTCATCAGAATTCCACACAAACTCGGTCGGACATTTTAAAATTTCGATTCAGGATCTGTGCTTCTTCCCAGATCTCTTAGCTATTTAGTATGAGAAGCAGCTTCAAGATTTGTAGCCAGCAAGATATGTCAGCCATGTCCAAGTATTTTTAGTGCTACATGCACTTAAAACACTGAACGGATCGCCGGTGACCAGGGTGTCATGGCAACCATCACCCATTTAATCTCTCATTAAAAACAGCAGCAGCAGTTTCCACAATACTTGTTTTAAAAAAAAAAAAAAGTATCATTACACAGTGTTCACAAAGCCTTTAAATAGCACTAATCAAACCATGTGACTTGTTTTGCATTAGATTCTGACATCGTTAATGGAGAACTGCCTGTCTTTAGCTATGATGCCATAAAAATATATAAAAACTTAGCTGAGGTTATCCTGAAATTACTTGCCGAAAGGAGTTAATCTGTTTTTCTTCCAGGCTCACAACTGTTGCTGGGTGGGGGGGTTGCCCACTCCTGGACTTATGCAGATGGGGGGGGGGGTGTAGATAAAGCAATCTTACTCCACTGTTCCCCAAGTAAGGACAAGGCTCCAGCAGCCAAAAAAAAAACCAAAAAAAAAACAAATGACAAGCACAAGCACAGAACAAGCCCAACTAATTTCCCTAATCCCTGCTTTGGCCGCCCCTGGACATCTGTCGATACCGGAAACATGCCCAAGGCTTCCTGGGCAGTGGACCATACACAGGGTGTTACCGTAACAGGATTGGCTTGTAAAGCCTGCTGACGACCGACAGCAAATACCGACGGACTGAAGAATGGAGTAACGTGTATATAAAGACAGCCGGGCTAATCCAGGCAAAGCCAAACGTCTCTCCTGTGGCTCGGGATGCCACATACCGGATGACTGGGGCTCTTACTTAGTAATGTAAGCAACGCTAACGGCTAAAGATGTGCAAATTAAAGTGATAAGTGCCAAGCTAAGA